ATGTGGTATTGGTAATGATACCTATTATCTATTGTCCTGTATTTAGTCATGTGATGACGAAGAAGAGGCTGCCTAACATCAGGTAAGGTCAGCCCTTGAGACGGGAGGACAATGCTTAGAGCTAGATACTCAAACGCAGAGTTCTAGGAAGGGATCTGGTTATTAAAACAAAATCAAAATTAAAAAGTTATAATGAAAACCTGAAAAAGGTTCTCGTTTGAGACAAGAGAAGAATCTTGTCTGCACCTCTCATTCCACCAGTCACAATATAACTAGCTTAACTATTTAATTTATTTTTAAATTTAATTATTTAAACAAAATTAACTTAAATAACAGTATTTATTATTAGTATCTCTCTTTTGGAGAACTCAACCAATAAGATTGCTTTTAGAGGTTTAGACCATGATTAGTCTCGTTCTTTAAGATTCTTAGTTTCGTTAAAAGATACTAGTTATTAAATTTTCTTAGATTTTAATTAAGAAAAACTAATAATTGGCTAAGAGGTATTAAATTCGCCTATTAGCCAAAAGTGTAAAAAAAATACAAAAATAAAAAAAATATCAAATTATGAGTTAAAAACTCCAGCTAAGAAATCAGAGTTAATCATGTCTCTATGTTTATTGGTGGTTTTGGGTAGGATTCTTAGTTTCGGTTAAAATACATTTTTTTAGTTTTTAGCTAAGAAAAGCTAAGAACCGATTCTTAAATAAAAGTATAAGAGCATCTCCAACCCTACTCCATATTTTACTGCAAAATGGAGTGGAGAATGGAGTGATGAAGAAACAAAAATTTCATTATTCCATATTTGGAGTAATCACTTTTTTATTTCTTCATCACTCCATTTCCCACTCAATTTTGCAGTAAATTATGGAATGGGGTTAGAGATGCTTTAAGAGCATCATTAACTTTTAGCTCTTAGCTAAACGTTCTTAGGATTTTTTTATTACTTTTTAAAAAATGCTTTTTTAAAAAAATAAAAAAAAAACAATTGCGAACCGCCATGCATCGGTGTGGCTAGTGAATAGTCTAAGAATCTTGCAAGAGTTGGTTCTTACACAAGGCACCTAAAAGGTGATTCTTAAGATAATGGTGGATGGTGCTCTAAGAACCGACTCTTGGTCAAAAAATATATTAAAAACACGAAAAAGTCAAATCATAAATTAAGAACCTCATCTAAAAATCCCAAATAAACATGTCATTTAGAACATCCATATTGGTAAGAGACTATATTGAGTTCTTTATAGTTTTCAAAACTATATATCTATTTAAAAATTGTCTTTCTCTTTCTTATATTTCCTATTTGTTTTAAACTTTTTTATCTCTTGAAAATTTGAGAGATATTGTAACCCTGCGGATGTTCATAGAACATCTTATTATATAAAGTTAAGTTTTTTTCTCATGGTGATGCTATGTCACTAAATAGGATGAGGAGAACGTGACACATATCATGTAAAATTATTCTTACACAAAAATTTAATGTTTAATATTAACAAAAAATTAATTTATGTGAATACATTTATTAATTCTTTTTAAAAGTATGAATCTTTTTATTTTGAGATTAAAAAAATATATTAAAAAAACTTAGTATCCATGAATTCAAAAAAATGTATGAAGCTGAAAATAATCCATAATTTATATTCTTAGATATTTTATTTTATTAACATGGACAAATGTTAGAAATTACTTACATAATAAAATTTAAATATATAAATAGTGAAATTTAATGTTATTAATAAAATAACAAAATATAAATAGTGAAATTTAAGGTTATTCTTATTCTCAATAAATTAAGAAAAATCAGATACTCACTAAATGTGAATATATATATATATATATATATATATATATATATATATTTATGTGTGTGTATGACTAGATTTTTAATAGTAGCACATTAGGAATTAATATACATTAAATATAGAGGAAAAAATCAAAATACAAACTAAATCAAGAAGAATAAACACATCAAACAAATAGAAAGATTCTTATATAAATTGGCTGAAAATAATGCATAATTTATATTCTTAGATATTTTATTTTATCAACATTGAAAAAGTTAGAAATTACTTATATAATAAAATAAAAATATAAATAGTGAATTTAATGTTCTTCTTATTTTCAATAATTAAGAAAAATCAGATACTGACTAAATTTGAATATATATTTTTTATGTGTATGTATCATTAGATTTTTAATAGTAGCACATTAGCAATTAATATGCATTAAATATAGAGGTAAAAAAATCAGAATACAAACTAAATAAAAAAGAATAAACACATTAAACAAATACAAATATTCCTACATAAATTATACTGTATGTTGTTGTTAAAAATGATATTGTATACACACTAAACTTATATCAATTATTGCGTATAAAAAAATAACCGGACACATAAAAGTAACTATGTGCTTATGAAAAACAAACAAAGATAAAATATTATAATACTAAAAATAATATAAAATTACAAAATATGGTTGACAGTAGATAAAAATAAAAATGTCCAAAATATAACCGAACATCAAACTTTGATAGAGATGGTGAAATGTTTAAGTAAACATGTCATTCATTTTATTATGGACAAAATAAACACTAAATAACAATCAATTATCTTGAAACCAATATGCACAAGATGAAGATAAAATAAATCTGAATATCAAGCGTATAACCTGACAAAATAATATGTTATTAGCTTAAAACCATCATGCCTCAAAATCTTTCACCTCATAACACCACTTCAGTGACCACTAAGATCTCACAGTTTATTTCCGATCAAATAGAATCAGAAAAATAAAAAAAAAAGAGAAGGAAAATGAAAAGTATATTGTTACGTTCACTATATATAGCACAACGATGAACATACGTTTATATCTTTTAAATCAGTAATAAAAAAGTAAATGGGAGTAAATATCTTTCCATTTAATTGATAGTTTTTAAGAATAAATTGGAGAAAAAATAGCACATAATACCATAGGCTGGAGAATAGAACTTCCAAAAATACACATTATATCACACTGATCCGTATAACATGTTCCAAAAAAACATGAAGTGAACCCTAAATACATCCACCAAAACTTTTTAACAATTTAATAACTTCTAAATCATAATAATTAATATATTATTTTTAATGAAACCAAAAAAATTGACATTAATATTTTTGCTAAAAAAATAATCATTTAGTGAAAATATATATTATAATTAAAACAAATAAATTTAGAATTATAATAAATAAAATTATTATATTTATAATTAAAATAATCATTAGTGAAAATATATAATATAATTACAACAAATAAATTTATAATTATAATAAAAAAAATTCATGACAAAAGAGGATAAATCAATTTATGCTATTAATCTTTATACATTTCATTAGATTTATATCAACGAAAATAATAATGCTGAATCTAGCATTTTTTGGTTCCTTTTTTTACTACCAAATATAAGGTTAACCTAGAATACAAAATGATATAAAATAATTAACAATTAATTCATAATGAAATTAATTTAAAAACAAGAACTAATAATATACAAAGATAGATTAATTAAAATTTAATTATGCTATGTAATATAACTTGAGCTTAATGAAAAGTTTTTTTCCTGTGTTTAATGAAAATTTTAAGAAAGATTTAATAGTTAAGTAAATGTTACAGAATACTTAAACATAGTCAAAATAAATAAAAAAGTTTATAAGTTTAGAAAGACGAAAAATCTATTATCATATTGTTTTCCTTAAGTTTTATCAAACCTAAAGAAAAAAGAGTCACACACTAAATTTTCTTTTCCTTTTAGGTAAATAAGATCAAATATAGAATAATTATAAAAAGATATTCAAACAGTAAACAATGAATAATAAATAACCAAACAATATCTTACCAAAAAAATTGAAAATAAAATAGTAACACACAACAAATAAAGAAACAAAAGTCGAGACAAACCACAATACACAACAATTCTACGTAAAACACATATTGATAATCTATGACATACAAAATTTGTTTACTAAATTTTTTGAAATTCGAAAGACAAAAAAAGAATAAATAATTAAAATAATTATATAATTATCTAACTACTTATATCTCATAATATATTATAATATTTATATATCAAAATAACATATAACATTTATAATTAAAATTCCAACAAAAAAATTCAGGCGTAGCCCGGACAGGCCCTAGTACTTATTAATAGATTCTAAGTGGGGTTTTCAAACCTATTAAAAAATAAAAGTTAACCAAATATCTCAAAATGAAATATTTATTAATTTTAAATTATGTTTTCTTTTTAAACTGGTTGGAAAACTGTTATTTAAACTATTTTTAATATAGCATTTCTTAAAGTTTATTAGACAGTCAACATATAAAATATATGAACTATTTACATCTACATGTTTTATAAAGTATAAATAACTCATTTTGGAGATGTTCTAAGTGAAACAAATTTTAATGGCAATATAGTTATGCTAGATAGTTATATAATGCTAAAATATAATTTATATTTTTCAAATTAATAGATTATTAAGTTTTGTATGTGACACATGCATTATATAGCAAAATCAAATTTGCAAAGTGAAAATTTTAAAAGCTTGGTGTGTTGTGGTTGGGAATAAAATAGTGGCACTACATTTTAAAAGGTGAATAGTTTGAATGTCTTTTTAACACTTCTTGTAATATTCCATATCATTTGAAGAGCCTTCGCGTTAATTTAAGTTGACCCACAACATATACACACATAAACCCATATTATTCCCATACACCTGCCCATATAGTAGTATATACTTATCTCCTTAAAAGACACTAGAAATAACAAAAGAAAATAAAATAAAATTTTGAACATTAATACATACATGCACTTGATGTTTTCTTATTTCCCTCTTGTCTCTATATATATACACTCACGTTCACACCTACATTTCATACACATTTTCAATCTCTCCCCATTCCAAAAATTTCACAATATTCTTGTGGTTTTTTTCATTTCTTCTAATCCAATCTTTAAAGAAATGGACGCAGTGAGCAGTGTTGACGAGAGCTCAACAAGCACATGTTCCATCCACACTCCGGCGAAGCTTCCTCCGGCGACGGCAACAAAGTCTTCATCCCCGGCGAGTCTATACAGAATGGGAAGCGGATCAAGCGTGGTTTTGGATTCCGAGAACGGCGTCGAGGCCGAATCAAGAAAGCTCCCGTCGTCAAGATTCAAAGGCGTCGTCCCTCAGCCAAACGGAAGATGGGGAGCTCAGATTTACGAGAAGCACCAGCGCGTCTGGCTCGGCACTTTCAACGAAGAAGACGAGGCGGCGCGTGCCTACGACGTCGCAGCTCACCGTTTCCGCGGCCGTGACGCCGTCACGAATTTCGCGACGTTAGGTGACGGAGACGAAGTCGACTTCTTGAACGCGCATTCGAAAGCTGAGATCGTCGACATGTTGAGGAAACACACTTACGAAGAGGAGTTGGAACAGAGGAAACGTAACCTTCACGGTAAGGGAAATACAAAAGAGACGGCGTTTGCTGCCGTTAGGGTTGGGAAGGGGTTTAAAACGGCGGAGACTCTGTTTGAGAAAACGGTAACGCCGAGTGACGTCGGGAAGCTAAACCGTTTAGTGATACCGAAACACCAAGCGGAGAGACATTTTCCGTTACCGTTAGCTGGAGACGTCTCAGTGAGAGGGACGCTGTTAAATTTCGAGGACGTTAACGGGAAAGTGTGGAGGTTCCGTTACTCGTATTGGAATAGTAGTCAAAGCTATGTGTTGACTAAAGGTTGGAGCAGGTTCGTTAGAGAGAAGAGATTATGTGCCGGTGATTTGATCAGTTTTAAAAGATCTAACGGTCAGGATCAACAGTTGTATATCGGGTGGAAGTCGAAAGCCGGGTCGGATCGGGATCAGGATCAGGATACGGATCGGGTCGTCGTGAGATTGTTTGGCGTTGACATTAGTTCGGTGAAGTCTCGAAATGATGTCGTAGAGAAGGAAGAAACGGTGATGTTGTCTTTAAGGTGTAATAAAAGGCAACGCCTTGTAACAACAACTTAACAATTGTTTCTCTTTGTTCTGTTTTTTGTATTTCCTGGAAAGTGTTACAAAAAAAAGTATTTCCTGGAAAAAAAACTTTTATTTTTTCTTCTTAACAATTTGTTGCCGACATGATTTATGTTGCAAAGTGTAACAAAGTTAAAGTTGGCAGAATCTTTCCAGCAAAAAAAGATTACACACGTGAAAAACATTTTCGATCAGATATATATATCTTATATTTTATAAAAGCATGATTTAATACACAATGCTTTTTACAGATAAATTTAAATTATTAATGAATCATTATATTATTTTTGAATATTTAATTTTATTCTAATATGAATTATATGCGTGGATAGCATTTTTTGATGAACTTTCAAGTAAATCACAAAGATGCTTCTAAGTTCCAACCATAGTTCTGAAATGTCTGAGACATTTTGATACCAAATCATCTAGTCATTTGATGATGACTATTTCTGTGTGTGGGTCTAGCTCGTAACGAAAATGGGCCTTTTTGTTTAAGGCCCATTAAAGTTGTCTTCACAAAACTGTAGTCACATATAAACCTTTTTGGTCTTTAGAATGTTCGCCAGCGAAAATGTCGTTCGGAATATCTCAATCCCATTCTTTATTTAACGGCGGTCATTTAACGCCGTCGATATACTTCACCGGAGCTCCGGCCAACTTATCCTCTCTCCTGCTCTCAGGTTTTCCGCTACTGTTGCTATCCACTTCCTTTGTTTGTTTCAAGAAAATTGAATTCTGTCTATTAAGTTTGATGTTTCTTTTTTTTTTATTTGTTGCAGGCAAGAAGAAGAAGTCATCATTCTCTCCTAGAATAAGAAGGTATTAATTAATTAATTCATTACTATTAATATATTTTTCTTCACATCTGATATGCAATTTGATGTGTGTTTTTCAAGAATTCAAGAACTTGAAAACACATTACAAGTCAAAAGAAACGCACCTCTAGTATGTGGAAGAGTCTCCCCTCGTCTCCCTGTTCCTGATCACATACCAAAGCCTCCATATCTTGAATCTACCGAACCACCAAAGATATCAAGTGAGTATCAGTTTCCTGACTCCCAAGGCATCGTTAAAATGAAAGCAGCGTGCGAGCTCGCTTCTCGTGTATTAAACTACGCGGGAACTTTAGTTAAAGTAAGTAAAGATTAGCTTCTTCTCCTGTGGGTGTCTGCCTATGCTTATAAAAAATGATGTTGCAGCCATTTGTTACAACAGATGAAATCGACAAAGCAGTGCACAAGATGGTTATTGAGTCTGGTGCTTACCCTTCACCTCTCGGATATGGAGGGTTTCCTAAGAGTGTTTGTACATCAGTCAATGAATGTATGTTTCATGGCGTCCCAGACTCTCGCCAGCTACAGGTTTGGAGTATGAGACGGTTCTTGTAAGAATGAATGTAGTAGTATATCACTAATCAAACTATTGTTTTTGTTTTTAGAATGGTGATATTATAAACATAGATGTGGCAGTCTACTTGGATGTAAGTCTTTCATACTTCTTTTTTTGGCTAATCTTCAATCAAGTTTATACTTGTGTGTAACACTTTTTTTAATCAGGGATATCATGGAGATACGTCTAAGACCTTCCTCTGTGGAGATGTTGATGAAAGTCTTATACAACTTGTGAAAGTCACAGAAGAATGCTTAGAGAAAGGTATATCGGTTTGTAGAGATGGAGCAAGCTTCAATGAAATTGGGAAGATAATCAGGTAGTAAATAGTAACACTAGTTAATTTTCAAAGGAGCAGTTTTCAGTGACTTGCAATTTTCAACAGTGAGCATGCTGAAAAGTATGGCTATAACATGGAGCGCTTTATAGGGCATGGTGTAGGAACTGTATTACATTCAGAGCCTCTTATATACCTTCATCAAAACTGTAAGTAACACAAAAGAGCTTTTGTAACAAGTCTTCTTAACCGTGGAGTTTCACTGAAGAAAATGTTTTTTTTTTTCAAATTGCAGATGATTACGAGCTTGAATATATGATTGAGGGTCAAACGTTTACGCTTGGTGAGTAACCATTCTCTTATGGAACTTTAATGAATGCATTATATACTCTTTTATGAATTGATTGTTTTACTTTGTTTGCAGAGCCAATTCTCACCATTGGAACCACTGAGTTTGTAACATGGCCGGACAAATGGACAATTGTGACAGCAGATGGTGGTCCGGCTGCACAGTTCGAACATACGATTCTAATTACCCAATCTGGTGCAGAAATTCTTACCACATCATGAACTATATACACAATATTCAAGAACTAAATCATTGACGTTTCATTTCAGTGCGTTAAGAAATGTAGCCTTAGTTAAATTAACCGTTATATTTAAAGACTTTCTTAGATTTTTTTCTTTCTTTTGGTGTATTACGGCTTCATCTTTGAAATTATACAAATCATAGGCACATTGCGGTTTGGATGTTTGATACATCAGTGTCATTGTCAATATCTGCAAGTTCTAACACAAAAAGGTTCATAAAAGATTTGCAGAACCAGTAAGAATAACATTCTCAAACTACCTTTGTAAATGTTCATTGATTACAATATTACTAGGTCATTATCCCGCATTGTGCGCGGGTTTAGCAGAGTTAACAAGCTTGCAATACATGAGCACATGAAAAAGTTACAAAACCTCGAAAAAGAATATAAAGTCAATTATAATCATTCATTAAAAATTTAAAACATTTAAATGTAATGATGAAAAATGTATAAATGTAAATACTATTATTGATTTCCCGTTAATGTTCTAATGAATGTTATTAATTGACTTTTATTTTTTTATATACATTTCATTTTCTCAATATAGTGAAAGCTTATTAGATCTTCTAACCCCGCGCGAATAGTGCAGAAAAGACCAAATAAAGTTGTGTTATAAAGGGTATTTGTATATGGTGAAACTGAACATTTAAAGAATAGGTTATACATATTGACAAAAAAAAAAAAAAGAATAGGTTATACATTATCATTGGCTATGGAAGATGTACAGGATTAAGTACAGTGCGGATGGGGATCAGATTCAACCATATGTTCCACATGTGCGTTGTGTTTTTTTCTGGTCTCATGTTTTATGAGCTATATTTGATCCAAAGTATTAGGGTTCAAGTGCAATTCTTTTAAAAATGAATTTCTCATTTACTTAATTTTTATCAAGTAATAAAATTTTATTAGAAAATATTAGTCAAAATTTAATAGTTACTATACATGTATCATATTACCATAAGTTCCATTCATATTTTTGTTTTGTTTATTGATCGTAAAATTCGTCCAATCCATTTGTTGGGCACTGTTTTATCCGTCTAGTCGATTTGTTTCTTATTAACCACAATTATTCTGAGCTATCCCTTTGTTTTATTATCCGTCCAAATCTTTCGAAGAAAAAAATTATTTCTATTTCTCTAAACATTTAAGTCAAATGTCTTATTTTCTTTACATCTGGCCCTAGTAGTTAGACACTTAGAGAATCATACATTTGGCTCTAAACATTTAAACCAAATGTCCTATTTTCTTTACATCTGGCCCTAGTAGTTAGACACTTAAGACTCATACATTCAAAGCTTCACAGATCTCACGTTTTGTAGTTTTTCTTTATGTAACTCAGGGACCGACCATAAGTCATCCCCCAAAAAACTTGGACCAACCATTTCACGTGCCGACCATGGAAACCAAACCCAAATTCCTCAATATCCTTTTTCGTTAGAGACCCACTTTACGCACGTTTAACACATCACCAAAAATCACTATTCATCATCGAAATATGTATATATATGCATCCACCAGTGTTTGTAGAACTCAACTCACACACACATAAACAAAAGCCTTTTAACCAAATCACAGAGCTTAAAATTCCCTTTGATCAAATGGCTTCTTATGCAACGTCTCCTCTACAATACATGTCCATGACAACTCTCAACCATCTCTCCTGTACTAAGCAATCTCATCGCACCTCTCTTCTCGGTCTCTCTAAGTCCTCCCAGAATCTTGGGATCTCATCCAACGGTCCATATTTATTCTCTCGTTCAACTTCCACTCCCAAGAACCTCACTTTGACTCGTGCTCTCTCCCAGAACGGAAATATAGAAAACTCCAAATCAAGTAAGTTCATTGATTCTTTTCCTTTTTTTTTCTTTTGAGAACATTTCCTATTTATTTATTTATTTATTTATTTATTTATTTATTTATTTATTTATTTATTTATTTATTTATTTATTTATTTATTTATTTATTTATTTATTTATTTATTTATTTATTTATTTATTTATTTATTTATTTATTTATTTATTTATTTATTTATTTATTTATTTATTTATTTATTATTTATTTATTTATTTATTTATTTTCTCTATATTTTAAATCATGATTTAAATTCACAAATTGAGAGTTTTTTTTTCTATGTTCTTGAAAATTCAGGTAAAATTCAAGAACTGAGCGTATACGAGCTCAACGAGTTAGACCGACACAGCCCAAAAATCCTGAAAAACGCCATGAGCCTAACGTTCGGTCTCGGCGACCTTGTCCCCTTCACCAACAAACTCTACACCGGCGACCTCAAGAAACGCGTGGGAATCACCGCCGGTCTCTGCGTCGTGATCGCACACGTCCCGGAGAAGAACGGTGATCGTTTCGAAGCGACTTACAGTTTCTACTTCGGTGACTACGGTCACTTGTCTGTACAAGGACCGTACCTGACGTACGAGGACTCGTTATTAGCCATCACCGGTGGCAGTGGAATATTCGAAGGTGCTTACGGACAGGTCAAGCTTCAACAGCTTGTGTTTCCGACAAAGCTGTTCTACACTTTTTACCTCAAGGGTCTTGCTGGTGATTTGCCATCGGAGCTCACCGGAACTCCGGTTCCTCCCTCGAAGGATGTGGAGCCTGCGCCAGAAGCTAAGGCATTGGAGCCTATGGCAGTTATTAGTAACTATACTAATTAAATTTCTGTGCTTCTTGTGTATTTGTATAATGTAATATTCTTTTGAATAAATAACAATATCAAGTTTTTTTCTTTTGTCAATAAGCTTATTCACACAATATAAACAATCATTTTCTGAACCTATTACGATATAGACAAATATATGTCAATATTCCTATATCGTATATTCTCTTTAGGAGATAATGTTTACATTCTTGTTTCTCAAGTTAGAGATAAGGATAGTTTCTATTAAGGTTCATGTTAAACCGTCATTGAATCTTGTATATATACGATGCTTGTATAGCTTAATAAAGACAAGTCAGTTTGATATCCAATTCTACATGGTATCAGAGCCACCCGATGTTGGGCCACTCCGTGGATGTTGTTCCCACAGTTGTCCACGCATGAGCGTGAGGGGGAGTGTTAATGTATGAAACTAAGTCCCACATCGGTAGTTGGAGAAGTAATTGAGTAATATATAAAGGGTTAGGGCCAATCCACTTATCACCAATTGGTTTTAAGTTGGAAGCCCATAATAAACCCAAAGTTAACATGGTATCAGAGCAACGATTTCATCAGTCATCGAGTCGTCCCAGACAGCAATCCCAACCGCTTCTTTAAAGTGTTTGGGTTCGACACCATCTGAAACTGCAGCTAGAAAGGCTGGACATTATTTAAGAGACAAGAAATCTCGGTTGCAAGCCGGCTGCGACTCCTCTCGAACAAAATCATCATCTTGGCAAGGTTGAGAGTCCTACTTTATCTGATCCGCGCAAGTACCGACGACTTGTTGGACGGCTTTTGTATCTCCTTCATACACGACCCGAGTTGAGTTACTCAGTACATGTCTTGTCTCAGTTCATGCAGTCTCCAAAGGAAGCCCATTGGGAGGCAGCCCTACGCATTGTGCGATTTCTAAAAGGTTCTCCTGGTCAAGGAATCATGTTAAGTTCTTCAAAAGACATGTCCTTAACCATATATTGTGACTCTGATTGGTCCTCTTGTCCCGAAACCCGTCGGTCTCTCACAGCATATGTCGCTTTTCTTGGAGACTCACCTGTTTGCTGGAAGACAAAGAAACAAGATACAGTGTCTCATTCCTCCGCAGAAGCAGAATATCGAGCTATGTCTGATGCTCTCAAGGAGGTCAAGTGGTTGCGCAAAATGTTGCAGGGATTCGATATCAAGCTGGTACCTACGCGCTTCTTCTGTGATAATAAGGCGGCCATTCATATTGCTCGAAATGCAGTCTTCCATGAACGTACAAAACACATTGAGAATGATTGTCATGCAGTACGAGACGCTGTTCGCGATGGTCACATTATTCTTCATCACATTCGTACTAAGGAGCAGGTTGCTGATATTTTAACTAAGGCATTGGGGCGAGTTCAGTTCAATATCCTGTTGTCCAAGTTGGGCGTTTGTGACCTGCACGCTCCAACGTGAGGGGGAGTATTACGATATAGACAAATATATGTCAATATTCCTATATCGTATATTCTCTTTAGGAGATAATGTTTACTTTCTTGTTTCTCAAGTTAGAGATAAGGATAGTTTCTATTAAGGTTCATGTTAAACCGTCATTGAATCTTGTATATATACGATGCTTGTATAGCTTAATAAAGACAAGTCAGTTTGATATCCAATTCTACAGAACTGATATCCGAAATACCTGAACGGAGCTGAACCGATATCCGAAACGTCTGGCCTATTGGTTGTGGTCGCTTAGGGTCTTAACTTGACGGTCAATGTGGCTTTTGAGACTTCAAAGGGACAAACTATAATCCAGTGCTCATAATACACATCTATGGATTGTATTTGCCAACTAATTTATTAACTAAGCACATATTTCAATCTAATCAAAACAGATAAGCTCATCAATCACAAATTTCCATTTTCAGAGACGACCATTTATTCAAGACAGATAGTTGAGCCCTTGATTTTAGTATCACATTTACTTCATATAAATTTGCAAATAAGATGAATATAAGAACAGCCTAGCATATAACTTTTTGTTTATCACATTATTGTTTGTATTGAGTTGGTATGGTATTGGCTCGCCATTATACTGGAAAGAAACATTCGCATATTTGGTTTACTTGGTAATAAATGAAATTAAAATTAGCGGTCAAAACACAAGATATAGGAAATCTGGACTCACATCACAGTATATCTGGATATACACATAAAAACTACAATATTTGTATTTATGGATAAGGTTACAACGAATTCAACAAAGTGTCAACGAATTACATATATACTGAGGTTAATCATGTACGGCTTTTTCTTCTGCCATGTTTCGGCCATCTACGAAGAGACATTTGGCTTTTCATTTTGGGATATTACAAAATATATTTTCAACGTTCTATATAGATTTCGTTTAGGTGAAATTAATGTTTTAAAAACAGAAGAGCTCATGCACGTTAATGGGGGTGGGGGTGTATCGCCGGCTGATTTAGGATTTGCATTTAAGTTTTCTTTCCCATGTATTTAATTTATAAACGATATCATATTTATCTAAAAACTAAACACATACATATTAAAGTTTGTATGTGAAAATACTATACGAAAATATTATAGTTATAGTAATCATATGAAAAACATTTTTGGGGATTTGAATATGTTGTTAAATACTAACATTTACTCGGTTTAGATTGAACCAAATATCATGCACTACGGAAAAATGCATCATATCGGAAAGCATATATATATATATATATATATATATATATATATATATATATATATATATATATATATATATATATATATATATATCAAATCAGTTTACAAAAAAATAAGAAAAAATCAAATGGAATAGTCTAATACCATGTTAAAATTCACTGGTTCCAGTTACATCCATTAGCGCAATACATTAATGAAGTTCCTAACATATTTAACCAATCACCTACTATTACATATATTCCACAGACATTTTTACAATATATAAGAATACACACTTGTTTGGATATACCCAAATGATCTTTAAACAATTCTACAAAAACAAAACTTGGAATCATAACAACGAATATTCACTACTCCATATCCACACTAGTACAACAAGACAAATCCTTCATATTCTAATATGTGAATTGTATATTATACTACTATTAAATTGGGGGATCAAGGTATATACATAATTTATAAACAAAAGCTAAGATTCGACTTGCAATGCGACGACTCGACTTCTCTTTCAAGATAATGATCCTTGAGAAACCCTATAGAGCCATATATTTGTTCTCTTTATAAAGAGACACAACCCCATCCTCTTGTTTACAGAGTACTGCTTAGCTATAAAAAGGTGGATTCATCTCTAAAATCACCATGATTAAGCGCTTAAGCAATATGAAGAATTATAATGAGAAACGTGAAAAATGTTGTGAGTACATCGAAGCTCTTGAAGAAGAACGCCGCAAGATTAATGTCTTCCAACGCGAGCTTCCTCTTTGCTTAGAGCTTGTCACTCAAGGTATAATTATTTACTTACATATGTATATATGATATATAACGTATTTTCAGATGCAACTAGTTGCGATATCTTGATCGGATTCAAATTAAAAATTTTAACAGAAAATTTCGCTTTATGTATATGAAATCTACTTTTCTATTTAAGTATGTATGAGATATTGAAACCGAGATGTGTGTAAATATGTGGGATGATGTTAGATCTAAAGATTTAACTTATTTATTGGTTTGGGAATTTAGCTATCGAGGCATATAAAAAAGAGATATCAGAGGCTACGACGGATACCTTGTACGGACAACCGGAGTGCTCGGAGCAGACTACCGGAGAATGTGGACCCGTCTTGGATCTATTCCTACCAATCAAACACGCATCTTCAGCCTCCACAGATGAGGAAGAGGAAGAAGTTGATGAAGATGTTGAACACGAATCTCATGACACCAACGTAGATTTCGTTGACAGGAGGAACATGAAATCTGAATGGCTCAAGTCTGTTCAGCTTTGGAACCAACCTGAGGCAGTTCCTTCTAATAAATCGGTAAGATACTAATAAAAGGCTTTGCATCTTAATATATTTTGTTTGTTTATATATATATATAGGGATGTTTGATGTATAGAATTTAACACGGATGGTTCATAATATTTGCGTTATAAACAATCTTGAGATTTCATTTTAATTTGTTTTGAGGATAAATTGATATGTATGAGAGTGGAGAAAAAAGTTTTTGCAATGTAAAACATTATTCATTAGTATAAAATTATTTAAATGGATTTCTCCGTTTGGCATTTACGTTTACAGCTAAAAAATGCTAAAGATAAATTATATAAGTCTCAAGCTTATATTTGTATTGCGTTTCCAGGAAGACCAACAACATGAGACAGAAACGGTGGTAGAACCAATCAAAGAAAATGACAACGGAGCAGGGTCTCATCAGCCGCTGTGTTACGACACGAGCAACGAGAAAAATGACTACATAATATCTCTTGCCACTACCAGCGGTGGAAGCGGTCGAGAAAAGACGGAGGCTGAGAAAGGCGGAAGCGGCAGCAGCAGTGGGAGAGGGCAAAGAAAGCAGAGGCGGTGTTGGTCGCATGAGTTGCATAGACGCTTCTTGAACGCTCTTAAACAGCTTGGTGGTCCTCATGGTGCGTTTCTTGATTTCATCTGACATTTTTTAGTATCCATATTCTTGATTAGGGTTCATAAAATTCAATTAACTCGTATGGTGATTTTGCAGTAGCTACGCCTAAACAGATTAGAGAGCTAATGAAGGTTGACGGATTAACAAATGATGAAGTCAAAAGTCATTTACAGGTTAGTAAAAGTAAATTTTAAAAATAAATTTCCATAACTGGTACAAAATTTAAATATGTTTCTTTGCCAAATTAAGACACTTGTGCACGTGGATTTTGAAGATTACAGTAAAAGTATTGTCGGTTATATCCTTTTTAAAAAGCAACTGTTTGAGTTTACTTTCTTCAAAAAGTTTGCCTACATTTTTCACTAACTTTTTTTTTCTTGGTTAATAAATAGAAATACAGGCTGCATACAAGACGACCTAGCCAAACAATTCCTAACAACAGAGACTCTCAAACTCAACATTTCGTGGTCGTCGGTGGAATTTGGGTCCCACAGGCTAGCCGCTCCACGGCCAACACAGTCGCATCACGTGAGACAACCGCCGGGATTTACGGGCCTATGGTCAGCCCGTTACCGTCGGAGTGGCCGAGCCATTCAAATTTTGGTCGGGAGATTTCGGAAGAAAGATCAAGATGCTCTAACAAAGGAATTGTTAGGTGCAGCTCACCAGCAATGTCTTCTTCTACTCGTACAAAGACTAAAGATGCAAAAATATCATCATAATTTTTTAAAAAATCATTGTGATTATTAATTAATTAAAGGATATGAGCATTGAAATGAAAAGAGACTATATAGATTTTTGGAGCGATACTCTCTAGACTATTATATAACTTGGGATAAATGAAACTTTCACTGTACTTTTTACACATTGTTACTATTATATAAATCAAAGATGTATCAACTATTGAATTTACACCAGATATGTAAACTTCTAAATAATTAAGTTAATTAATTGATACGACGCATTACATTGAACCACCCATGTGTTTCGAATCCGTTTGTCTCCAGCAGACCTGTTCAGGAGTTCATGCTTAACTCCTCACGTTACGTTAGCGGACCTATCACCTGTGGCTCGGGCAATATATTTTACCACATTGTTTTTGACTAGTTTAAACATTTACTGTAAATGATTTACAGATGGGAATCCATTAGAACGTTATATGAACTAATATATATGACGTCTTCTTCCAATTCGTTTTTAATCTTTTAACATCTCCAGAAAGTCATCCTACAGACACGTAAGAATTGATATTAACATATTCTTACAACTTTAGCCATCACAAATCTAATATTTGTTTCCCTAAATTATGTATTGTCGGCCACGTTTATGTATAGTAATCATATAGTTATAATGTACAGTCATACAGAGGACATTGGAGAAAACTACTATATCTTTGGAAAACAAAAAAAAATCTAAAATATTTGTATGCTATACAAAAAGACCAGGAACTCGGAAGTCTGATGGCATTATTTGGGTTCATTCATGGGAAGAATATGCCGGAATCTGGAGAGCATAATCTAAAATTTCCTGTGTATAAATTATAGCTACAACTTTCCAGTTGTTAAGAAATGGTGGTTGGGACATATCCGGAAATGGACCAGACCACATCAGTCTACTTCAGTCTCAAGACTAGGCGGCCAAGACTTGTCATTATCCTCCTTTGTATTTATCCATATGTTGTAGTTATCCTAATCATTATAGGATTAGGATAATCATCCCCTTTATTGTTGTAATCCTTATCTCCTAAGGAATATGCTTATTCTCTTGTATGTATATATATGTATGTGCACGTGATGAATAAGAAAATGAGAGTTACAACCTTC